CTAAGTGCTATTGAATTTTTATTGTCACAAATTGTAAACCTTTCAATGACCAAGCCCGACCACTGGACAAACACTCGTCTGCAGATGCTCAGCTGAGCAATGTGTTGCTCTTACCGTGCTCCGAGGAGCGTAACAGCAACCTCTGGAGCTGAGGATTTTAAACGCTCCACCTGCTTATCGATCTCAATGCCCCACTGGGCCTTCCAGAGGAAGCAGAGAGGAGAGGCAAGCTGCATGATGAGGCCAATCTCAGTGCTTTGGTCTCAGGTCTGTCCTTGACACTGCCTGTGGGACAGGGCTGTAGGACGCGTCTTGTTCTCCTTGTAAGCGCTGCATCTTGCCCCTTACAGTTAGCTGTCCCTCCCCGTGGGCCTAACTGCACTTTGCACAGCTATATTGATTTTTTTGAGGGGCAAGAGAGTGTGGCTGGCAGTGGGAGTCTGCTAGCATGGGAGGGGGAACATAGAAATCAAGGGAGCTTTCTAACGCACTGACTTCTCCTTGACTGCACCTCGAGACGCGACAACCCTGTTCTAACAACTCACTGGCCCTGGCACCCCGTAGAAAACTGCTAATCACAGTCTTTCAATCAACACTCTCCTTTAGCACCCGTCTCTTTTTTCCCCTGAGTGAACCAGACCTTGCTTGAATATCAAGGGACTTTGACGGCTTTAAAACTGGCCATTCCACATGGAAAACAGCTGACCCCATGAGAGCTAATGCTGTAATTTGAAGGTGAAAACTAAAAAGCTTTTCTCAATCGACCTAATCCTAATGGAAACATTATGGCCTGGCTGCAAAATAACAGTAAAGGAAAAAATGGTCCTCACACATCAGCAAATGTAGTCAGGCAAATGGCATTGTCCCAAGATGTTAATATCAGTGTGTGAAATTGTTCAAGAATGTGACATGAAACAGCATCTATAAAAAGACTGCGTGTGATTTTCTGCCAGACTTTTTAAAATCATGCCTATTATTCTTATCATGCCTTTTATTTTTCAGTTTTGACACTTGTTAAAGGTCAAATGTCTTTTTCTCAATGTAGTGGAAAAGAGAAGTGCAAAAGAGATGTTGACACCAGGCACGCTCAAATGTAGTGGGAATCAGTCCATGTATGGCATTTGTAAAATATACTCTGATATGCCACTTCTTTCAAAGTCAAAATGTGGATGGGAAAAAAAACAGAAGAACATGATTCTTTGGTTACAGAAAAATGCAGTCAGTTTTATGATTGACTACTAGTTCTTTATCGATGAATTGACGTTTTTCAATATAAATAATTGTGTTAAACAGCCCTCAGCTTTTAGCACAAAAAACAGACCAGCAATATGTCCGTCATTTGTCACTTAACCTATGTGCTTCCCTCTGGTCACTGGCCCAAAATCTAATATTTAGTTAATGGATATTGTGGCTTCGTAGATTTGACTCTGCCAGATATATTTAAGATCTGGCATGCTTTATAACGTACAGCTTTAAATCAAGAGAAACACTTTGATCATAGATAAATGCAGATTATTTTAAAGCAGGCGTGTCAAAAATGCAGCCTGCGGTCTGTGTGATAGTTTTAGTGGCTCAGTTCTGAAGGAAATCCCAATATTTTCTATTACCTATTTATTTTATTTTGCAGAAAATTAAATACCAGAAAAGAATATCCAAACTGATGATAAAAAAAAAATAAAAAATACCTACACTGCATAAAAGCATTCACTATTGTGTCTAAAGCTGCTATCACACATACAGTACATACATCATGTCTTGACAATTCCACAAGTATCTGCAAATTTAACAAGACAAATGAAATATGGTTTATCAGGTCATTGTGTGACATGTATGGAGTGACATTTAGCCTATATAATAGATTAAAACCTAATTCTAATTTTCTATTTATCTCTTTTACGTGTTTAATCCTCCTCACTTTAACTGAATGGAAACTTATCGCTCTTCTTTGCGGTGCTTCTCAAGAGCTCTTCAGATTTGCCAAGCTCATGCCAAATACACTGAGACGGAAGCAGCTTTGATCCGTGCCTCTTTTCACTCTTTTTGGGCCGGACATTTTACTGCGTGCTTGTCAGAATTGTTGACTCACCATCACTTACGTGCAGGAAGGTCCAGTTCAGAACCAGGTGTCATACAAGTATCAGTGGTTTTCAAAACTCTATTACACAGCTATCTCTCATCACATAACCAAGGCCTGCCGAGAGCACATCTAAAGACAGGATTTATCATAATTTTGTAGATTCGACAAAAATTGTTGGCAAATCTCATGAAAGAATAGTGTGTACTGTACATTTGATCATTTTTCCTATTCAAAAAAATAGGGGAAAAATTCATTACAAAACAATGTATTCTTACTCAATAAAAATATAGAATCATTAATATGCAGGTTCCACCCAGTGAAATAATAATTTAAATCACATTATTGCTATAATAATAATAATAATAATATAATAATGATAATAATAATAATAATGTATTTTATTTCCTATAGGCACCTTTCTACACTGCAAAAAATTATCAAATATGAGATGATAATTGCTAGAATCGAGTTTTTTTAACTTGATTTAATTTTCTGACTGTCTTAAAATGAGATTTGCCAATGAGACAAGCAATTTTGACTTGATTCAAGAACTATTGCTTTATTTTCTCATTCCAAGAGAGAAATATCTTGTATCTTTTTAAAACAAGATCATTTTTCTTGTTCCACTGGCAAATCTTGTTTTAAGGCAGTCAAAATGTGCTCATATTTAGATACATTTAGCCAAATTTGAGCATTTTTTGTCTTTAATTCTGTCATCTTTTGCAGTGTAGACACTCAAGGTCGCCTTACAAAACAAGTAAAAAGTTCCTATACCTCAATATTGTAATTTTTCTAATCTTATGTCACATTACTAAAAAGGTCAAGGCAGATTATCGATGCCTGTTCAAACATAGATGCAATAAAAGTTTTAGTAATAATTAAAAAAAAGATAAATGTGTCATACAACATTCCATTTTAATTATATACGCCTACACCATTTTAAGTATTAAATTCTTCTCTAAAGATTGGGTCAGACAGCTTGTTATGGGCACAACTGATTTTAAAAGAGCTATTTATTTATGTCCTTCGTTTTGTATATCAGCTTCTTTCCACAGCCTCTCAGGGAAGTGTCTTTATCCTTCTAACTGGTCAACTTATGTGGCTATTTCCTTCCATTGATGCTAAGCACTGGACACTAATCTACTCACACTTTGAAGTATGCGTCCACTGAACTGTCACAGATGGAGTATTAAATTAAATTAATAACTACATCCTACACAGTTTGATATCTCTTAGAGGCTTGATCAAAGTGAAGCAATTGGTTTCTATTCTACCAAGTATGTTTTTCTGTGATAAACAGTCTGGCTGATGGAATAATCCCATCAAGGAATAGACAGAGGGAGAGAAAGCATCAGATATATCACTCAGCGCAGATGGTTGCCGCAGAGACCTCCAAGCATCTGCATTATTATGGGATTGGTAATCTCATTTCTAGGGTTTGCGTGGATTTTCCCTTTTTCTCTTCAGATATCAGGTGCAGTAAATTCTGCAAGAGTCCATCTTCTTCAGAGGGCTCCGGTAACTCCTTGTCTTTCTTTTTTTTCCACTGGAATTTTAGAGTTGCTTGATGCATTTGACACCTGTGTGACAGGGATGTGTGCGATAGGGGTTGAAACATCATCTTGAGCTTGCTACCTTCTATGTTTCCTCCGTTTTTACCCCTTCCCCCCCGTCTATTTGGATGGGCATTTCACCTGTCTGTGTACTCGCGGTTCTGACAAGGCGAATAAAGCCGATCCTAATAAACCTATATCTATGTAGGCGGACTTGAACACACTCGCAGCAGATGCAAAAACACACAAACTTCGACGAAAACCGCCTGCCTTTTTCTATACACCACTAGCCCAAAGCCTCACCTTGATATCTCCGGCTTCTGTCATAAGTCGGATTTCGACACCAGTGAATGTGTCAGCTTGTCAATTTTCTTTCCAACTGCCTTTGAGTGCAGTCTGGCCATGAATAGTGTATGTTGTTTTGTTTTTCAGATTCCAACTGTCTGCAAGTCTGTTTTTGTTTGTTCCAGAATAACTTGGAGAGGCCTGTACACTCATGTGCATCCTTTAAGAAAACTTTCAGCAGGTGTTGTGTTGTTTAGCCTAAGGTAAAGATTTATCCCTGAAGGTATATTCACCAAACTGCCTCGCATCACACGTCGCCCCAACTTCTTTTACTTGTTTTTTTCTATTACCACCGTGCGTCTAGTCACCCTTTTAAGAAGCAAATCTTGTTTACCGGGTTTTTGCTTTAATGTTTTCAACAGAGCGTTTGATTTAACTATAAAGTAACAGGTTTTAGTTTCAAACATTCTTCTTTATGCATATTGGATTATTAGGGCTTGTCGTAAATCACAGAATAACATTGCACTCATGGCATGGAAACAATCCTTACATACAGTAAACTTTAGATTTTCTCAAAGGTATCAACATGTCATCTAGCAATTCTTTGAGAAGTTGTGTTTGAGTTATGCACCGCACAGTTTGATATGGAGAGCAACACAGAGGGTGTTTAGGAGGGGAAACAGTTGTGAAATTTATTTGGGCATATAGTTTTATGCCAGTTGCCATTGGATTTACAGGTCGGAATGGAATGCAGCCCAATGAAAGTGACTTTGATCCCACCAGCAGGTTGACAGGTTTATTGGAGGAGCTTTGTATGGCACAGGGCATCTTTTATAAGGTTGTGTGGAACCTTTCGGCAGGCTTCACAAAATCATAAAAATGTGAGAAGTCAGCATGCGCTATTGTGATTCTGGGGCAAGCTTAAATGCCCTTTCTATTGGCAATTTTGTTTGTTTTGTAAGAAAGAAAAGTTGAAATTTATTAAGTTTTGTTCTCTTATGATTTTATATTATGCCATGTCATTTTACAAACATTACAAATCAATAAAAAAAACAGCAAAATAAATGTTTTGTTGCATTCTACAGAGGCGGAAGCTACTGCAGGAGTTAGGAGACCAGAAGATCTCTTTTCTGGGACCGAGAGACCGCGGCTTTCAGCAGCTGGTGATGAGAGGATCAAATATCTTAATAGTTTATCTGTGTGTTGATCTTATAATAATTATTTCTTTTGCAGTGGGACTCCAGCTACACTGGACTTGTGTTAAGAAGATCTTGTTCACTTCCTGTTGAACTCCATTCTCAAGCAGAGTCTGCGTTCCTGACACTGAGGAAGAAAGGCTGTTTCCTGAGAGACCTGGTGCGTGTCCGGGACAGGGATGTTTTCACTGCGGTATCTCGAGCTTTGCTGGGGGAGCCAGGACACACCTACCGCTACCTGGACACACGTCTGTTTGCTATTCCCTGGCACAGTGAAAACAATGAACCCAAAGAAAACTGTTGTGACCCAGACTTTAGGGCTGCGTGCAAAGCATTATGGGAACTGAATAACTTTTTTTGCTCAGATGTGTCTCATTTCAAAGAAGGAGAGAGACTCTTTCATGGTGAAAAAACTATGGACACTGAAGTTAAACAAGGGGACGATGAGGACAGTGAAGACTCCAAGAACAGTGAAGGAGTGGACTCTGATTCCCGGCACAGTGAAGACGCAGATACTGAGTCCAAACACAGTGAGGAGGGGTGTTCTGGGCCTAAAGCTGAGGGCGAGTGGGAGACGGTGTCGAAAAACAGCAGTGAGGAGGGCGAGTCCTCACAAATGAAACAATGTGAAACAAGCATTAGTTCACTTAGTCAAGATATGCATCCTACATGGCTCACCCAAGCTGTTTGTGGTTCAGAGCCTAATCCGAAAGGACAAGAGGACAATGAAAAACCAGTGACCCAACTCAAGCACAGCCTGTCAGATTATCACATTGAAGATAAAGAGAATGAAGAAGCTGGGTGTTCCCAGCCAAACTCGCCATTGCTTTGCACTGGTCCAGTCAAGTTCAATGTCACCTTACTAAATTATATGGACCCTGCTGCTATGAGCCAGCTCAAGGATGAGCCTTATTATGGCATGGGGAAGATGGCAGTTGGGTGGCACCATGACGAGAACCTGGTCACGCATTCTCCTGTGGCTGTTTATAGCTATAGCTGCTGTCACGATCAGAAAGGTAAGTTGCTGGTACTATTAGTATGTAGGTTGATTAAGTAAAATTTAAATATTTCAATAATGTAATATAAGAGCGTTGAAATTAATATTCTGCACTACTTCACATCAATATCCCATCAAGTTATCTCATTTGTTTTATGGCAGATCAGATGTGTTTAACCTTGTGCATCTTAGCCCTGCAGCAGCAGTGTGGCATCTGTAGACATGGCCCCCGGTGAGGCGTCATCAGATCCATCTATGTGATAGTGTCAGGGTATTATCAAATGTCACCACCAGCTTGCTACTGACAGCCTTATCATCAACGTTGCTAAGGGAGATCACAGACATTTGGATGTGAGCTCTTAACACGTGCTCTATAGCGTAGTCTAATAAACAGATCTTATCACACTTTCAATCTCATCTTAATTCTTTACCCCAAGAAATGATCGATGTGCAATTATCTGATATGGAATAATGTGCCTGGCTTTGATAACTGTTCCTAGACTCTAGTAGGCTAATGCGATGTCTACTAATTATGGAACATCTCTTGCTCTTTCTAGGCTGATGTAGCATTTAAGCAAGAACTTTGAGGAAGGTCGTATACAGAATATACTACGTTTAGAAAAAAATAACTAAAGCAGAAAAGACTAAAGCAAGGGTATTGTATGCCGTCATCAGCATCAGCTTCATGAATATCTGTACATTCCACAGATCATAAGCTTATGTTCGCACAGAATGAGAGGTTCAGAGAATACTAAAAAGTGCAAGTTCTATAGTGTCTGGACTGTGCAGGTGCAGTGTCAACTGCTTTGACATCCCATTCCAGCCGAACACTTCACAGATGGACTTTGTTCATTGGGACGTCTAACCAGGAACACCTGCTTCTTGAGTCTGTTGCAGTGATTTGTTCTAGACTGTTTCAACCCTGACCTTGTGAACACAAGCTTCAAACCCTAGACCATCGCTCCTCACTGCTCTGAGCAGCTGTGTCTTTTTTAGTTTGGGGTGACCTTACATCTTAGACGAAACAGAACCATGCTCAGCCATATATTTACATCCTGTTTCACACACTGTCTGGAACAATGTTAATGCTAATGATCATACACCTTAACTTAACACATCTTAATCAGTAATTAACTGTTCCTAAACAACTGTAGTGAGACATGTTGTTCTCACCCTCTTTCATCCAAAGGAATCTCTCTCAAACGTGTGTTCTCCGGCACCACGATGATCCTCCCCATTTCCGAGGCCTGAGGGAATGCTGTCATTAGCCGGCTCTCAGTGCACAATGGCTGGAAATTAAGTTACTATTTATCCGTGCTGAGCAAAGGAAAAGGCAGCTGTGGGGCAGAGAGGCCCAGAAAGACTTTAATATTGATTTTTCTGAAGGGTGTTGGTCAGCCCAGCCAAATCTCATTTTCTCCATGTGCCTTGTAAGAATAGAAGGAGAAAGGAGAGCAGTGAAGGCGGTTACAGAGACAGGAATATCGGAGCATACCAGCTGACCATTAATACACTCTAAATAATATCAAGGGCTTTTATCTGACTCTTTCCACTTGCACTAGCATAATGATAGCATAAAGATCCTGTACTTACAGCCAATGTGATCACAAGAACACAGATTACATTTGCTCTGCTAAGTGATTTTTACTCAGACAAAGGCAGACATCTTCTATCCATTGTAAAAGTGGTGTGGATTAAATCACAACACCTTTCACTGTTTAAAGTGCTACATCTTTGATATCGATGTTTTTCCCTGCTGTAAAAGTCAGTAGTGTTGCACATGTGTACCTGAAAAACACTTAATCCTATTGCATTACAACAGTAAAAGTACAAAAAAGCAATAGCACTATTGTATTTGGTACAAAAAATTGGTGCTCTTTCACATCCGTTTAAGCTTATATTTCTCTGTGAGTGAAATATAAATGTAAATGAAACATTTTGCAATGCGTTTAGCTGTTTTGTGACTGGCAGGTGAGAGCAGTGAAGGAGGCAGCAGCGACACATCCTTCTGGAAGATCGGGCTGAAAGTGGCCTGGGACATCCACACCCCTGGCCTCATGCTGCCGCTCCAGTCTGGGGACAGTTATTACATGAGAGGTATTAACACCGCACAAACTCATTTTTACTATTTTATTATTTTGATAACAATATTCATTGAGTTGTAAGTATTTAAGTAAGCAAGTCATCTTTATATAATGGTGCTTTTTCACAAACAGAGAGTCAAAAGAAGCAGTAATTTAGCTAATTTAGCTAGCTTCAAATTCATTGCCATTTTTTTTTTTTTTAAATATTATGAAAAAAGTGGATTCAATTTGTTAAGATGGCTTGGTTTTTTCATTTGGAATGAGATTTGTTTTGCTTGTCCCATTGGCAATTCTTGCTGTAAGACAGACAACATCAAGATACAACAATCAAGATAGTGTTTGTGCTGGCTGAGCTTCAAGTTTGTGTTGAAGTGCTTGTTCAAAAGCTTATACCTGCTTTTATATGTCTGTTGTTGACTCTAAATCTGGATGAAATAACTATTGTCTTTTCTTCTATATGCATATGACCATTATATTGGCCACAACTTCGAGACCAATGAAGGATTGCTTACATTTTCGCTTAATTTTCTTGACAAAAATCAGTGTTTTATCATACATAACATAAAACTTTCTGCTCGGATATTTTGTGCGAAACTTTAAATAGCTGCCTACAGACACACGCCTTCCCTCACTCTGTATACTATATAGACTGTATAGACTTTTTCTTCTAAAATGAATATCCCATATGTTAATGTAGCATCCTTACTTTTGTCTAATCATTTTTTATCTTGCCTCACTTAACACCACATTGGTTTGGGGTTTGACAGAAATTGGTGGAAAAAACTGATGACGTGTGTGTGTGACTAAGCACTGCACAAGAGAGACACTTTTTCTGCTTTGACAGGGAACTTTAAGGTCCTATGTAATGATGTGTGTAAAGGTTAGGAAAATGTTATGTTTTTGAAGTTTTGAACCAGCGCTGACGGAGAGGACACATGGTCGGTCACAGCAGGAGTGTAAATCATGGCTTAATGCTCTGGACCGCAGTGACAGACACCTCAGTCCTTCTCCTTTTGACCCTCTTTATGCTCCTCATTATTTTGTCTAAGTGTGAGGGCAGTTAGCCACGACATAGCAGCTGGAAATGTTCAGATGGATAAGAAGTTGGATGCTGAATTTTGGATTGGCTCAGTTATGGTTTAACATAATGTGGGATGTTATTAACTGTGCTGTGACTAATGGTTCTATTAATACAAGATTACTACAATGTTATCTTTATTAAAATATATACATTTTAAATATATATCATTATCACAAGAATCACTACACAATTTCAGACCTTTTGAAACGTCTATAGGAATGGTTGTTTTGTTTCTCTTCTGAATTGTAAACAAATATTGACATGGGAGATTGACCTACTATGTTGAGACCGTGAGGATAGCTCAGTGTTTTCCTAAAGATGCATAATCCTTTACATGCTGCCTCTTTAAACGCAGACTATTGATTAGGATTAATATTTAGAATTTATTTTAGATCATAAACAATCTATATCCCTACTTTTACTCATTAGACATCCATGTCCCAGAGATTTACATGATATAAAGTTTTGTTAATAGAAAAACAAAATTATTGGAAAAGCATTTAACTCTTAAATTTTTTTTTTGCTGGATGTCTGTTTCATAAATACATGGACACAATCTGATGCTTTCGAGCAATTTTAGCCTTTTGCCTTTTGTTTTTCTTAGCTGTGGTTGCGGACATATTGGCACTAAACCAGGACACATTGCACCTGTTTTGCAGTGACATATACTCCATCATAAGTAGTTTTGAGGTATTAGACAGAAAGTACAATGGCATATAACCACAGACACCATAATGTCTTTTTACTGCAATTTGTCGCCAACTGCCCCCTTTGAACTGCTAATGTCTGAGCTCCTGGAGGCAAATTGAATCACTATCATTTCCACCCAAATGGAATTTCAGTGGTTAAAAAAGAACAATGCAAGTCTTGACACTGGCCTGTTCAGTAATCTGATTTCCAACTCCAAATGCACAGGGGAATTGGAGAAAAGATTTGACCCAATATATTTAAAAGCCTGCTTCCTGGAAAAGGAGGACAAGTGGCAGCAGGCGCAGGGGTTGAAAGAAAGATAAATATTTATTACAGTTATCGAGTTTGCCTCTACTCCCTCCTGATCTCACTGACGCATCAGACGCGCCAAGAAAAGAGCAGATTGATGGAGATAATTTGTTATTGGATATAAACAGTTTTAAAGACGCAGAGTAATTCTGCCCAGAGACGTAATCCTTCACAATCTCATCAGGGTGAAGAAAACACCGGCAAGTTGTTTTGTTTGTCACCATCTTTTTCCCCTTCCACCAAACAATAATATCTTCCTTCCAAAGCATTTGGCTGTTTGACTTTCAAATCACAGGCATTAGCCAGTGTACTCTTGCTCAAGGCGGGTGTAAATATGCACATGTGCTGTGAATGACAGCCCTGTCATGGCTAAATTAATTATTGGTATGAGGCAAATAATGGCAGAGCTGCGAAACATCTATACACACAAAGAAACACATGGAGGGATACACTGGAAACAGCAGTAAGGCCTCTGTGTAAAGCCTCTGTGATATTGGACAAATGTTTGCTGCTGTGGGTCCTCCGTCTTGACAGATTGAGCACTATCTGGTTTTGTTTGGTAATTAAAATTATGGTACAATGCCGCTCTGTCTATTTGAATCAAAACTGGACCAAGTGCAATCTGTCTGGGAGTACAAGATGATTAAGTTGTCATGTCCTACTTTTCGTCTGTTTTTGCATTCAACATTTTCCATTGTAACATTTGAATTACATTTAACAGACAATCCACTAATTAAACCCAGTAATGGAAGTATGTACATTTGACATGAGTTTTGCATTTGTGTTTATCAGATGACCTGAACTCCACTCATCAACACTGTGTCCTTGCCGGACATGTGGCCCGCTTCAGCTCCACACATAGAGTGGCCGAGGTGAAAAACCAACATGTCTAAACATAGCCAGCATGCTGTCCGGTCATTTGGCCTTTGTAATGATGTCAAAACCTACCAATAACAACAGCCATCTGGGGAATATTATGCTTTGATAACACATTAATGGTCAAACATAGACTAATCATACATCTTGATTATTGTAACTATCACATTTTTTAAATATATCTGTAAAAATTAATTATATGAATATGAATGATAATAATAATTCAAATTCTCAATGCTCTCCCCACCAGTGTTCAAGAGGCACGCTGGCCTACATCCAGTCGCGGTGTCAGGAGGCCCTGTCCTACCTGCGCACAGACCCAGAGACAGGCTCTCACAGCCTGCTGGCACTTCTGCCCACGACACTGCAGCACTGTGAGGAGATTCACAATGAGGTATGTTCACACAACCCAACAACCTCACATGTGGCTCTACATGTGTCATTGGAATTGGATGTCTTTTTAAGTAAGTGGTGTGCAAATGAACTGATTCAAGATCATGTTTACATATGATCAATTCTGAATAACTGTGAAAAAGCTTGTGTATTAAAATCAGTATTACAAACAATATTTACTAAATGTATAATTATCAGCTATTGACATTCACAATCATTTCTGAGTTGCATTGTAATAATATTCTGTAAATGGATGAATCTAATTCTTTACCTGCACAGTTGTTGTTACTCCTGGTAATCTCTGCAATATGAAGTCCAGGTTGCTCTAATTTGTCCTGGCCTGTGATGGATTGTAATGCAATAGCCTCTCCATATGTTATCTAAAGATGGAGTCATGACCCGCTCCATTCACAAACCCTTTTTCGCACACAACAATGAGTGATGCTGGCTTGGGATTCTGAGGGATAGAGTGAGGTTAAAAAAGAGCAACATGAAGGCCATAACCAGCCCCTGTGCTGGCTTGCCACAGGCCAACAGTTAATGTACCACTTCACCTCTCCCCTTTGCACCCATGGGCTCACGGCGCACATCTTGGATGATGCCAGCACCCAGACCCACAGCAGGGATCCATGACAGATGAGCCTGACGTAAGGTTGTTTAAAGGTTGTACACCATATTAATTATTCAAAGCCACCAAATAATAAGGAGAGCAATGTCAGACGAAGCATGGTTCCAGCTAGGCTTGCATGTTGGCCTGTGCCACTTAAGGCTGCTTTATTTATTTTCTATTTATACAGGAGCAGGTGTGCGTTAGTGCACACGTGTTTAAGTTGGAGGGGGCTCTCTGGGGTGCAAGCTTACTCTACCTGGCACTTGCAATGATCGATGTGGCCATTTGTTTTGAGTTGCCCACGAGAACAAACACCCACTTAAATGATGTATTGTTCGTGGAGTTATTTATGATGGCGGCCCACTTTGGTGCTTGGCGGGTGCATATTGCGCAGGTCTTGTTTGACATGGACAACCAAGAAGTGAACAAGCCTGAGACGCGCGAGCAGGCTGACCTGAACAGCACCTTATGGGCCATTCCTTAAGAAGTGCTAAACAGCCAGATTGCACCTGGTGACGTGCCATGTAAACAGTGCAACATGCTGCAATGGTACTAGGGCTGAGGAGGAGGGCCACACTTGTCACAGGATGGAGGCAGGTCTGACGATGATACCTTCTGAGGAGGACTGTAGACAAAGTGATAGAAAGTAGCTAATGATGGGATGGTTATAGTCAGAAAACTACTCATCTCCTGATCTCACCTGTATGTTAAGCAAAGTCCCCTACAGCCTGCTTATAAATCTTGCCCGCAGTCCTTGCTGGGGTATGGAGGGGCATGGCTGAGCGTTGCCACACGGCCCCCATGTGCGTGTTTTCCTTTGAAATGCTAATAACAGACGCAAATGTCTTGTCTCATTTAAAGCCACTGTGTCACTTTCCAGGTGGGTGTGTGACAGAGTGCCCTAAGGGACCTCTCTAATGATGCTAGTCCCCAACAGTAAATATTGAAGGGAAGGATGTTTTTCCCCCACATGTTCAGACTGAAAGTAAACTGTAGGGAAACACTAGTGTCTGACCTTGTAATGTCCTATTTTGAGACCACCATTCTCCCCAGGCTCCCAGTCTCTGTCCACAGAGCACACGCTGAGTGGTTTTTTGTCTCAGATGCTATTGTAATACTGTCTTTGAGCCTCCCAACACATGCACTGTAACTAATGTACGCATTGTATGAAGATGAATGGAGACAACAGTACTAGACTTTGACTAAATAGCCATTCATATTAGCATTAGTATTGACAAAAACGGCTTTTGAACACTTATCTGACTATTTCAAAGACTGCTGTCAGTAAATCCTTTTAATAAACCATGAAATCATCTGGAAAAATTAACTTAAAAAAAAAAACAATATACAAAAATCTGTGCTGCTCACATTCTTTCATTAGAAAAACATGAATTTTAAATCATGTGTTACATAATGATGTATTGCATATCAAAAGCCCTTTGTCATCTTGGGAAAGAGAACAAAAATGTGTTCTTAACAGTGTTTACTTATGTGTCCTCAACACCACAGTGGCAGAGTATAAATGTTCAGTTTTTACAGTGAGTCTGGGGGACCACTTTTCCAGACTGAAGTGAGAGAAAAAGTAAACAGAGGAGGGCAGAGTGGGATCGATCCTATTCTCATCAGTTCCCACCTCAGGGCTCCGGTCCGGAAATTGATTTGACTCGCTATGGGAATACTGTGAAGGTTTGGAAAAAATGTGCCTCATTAAATGGAGAAAACGGGGCTGCTTGCTTTAACTCCAGAGTTGCCATTGCGGGTGGCCGGCCGTCTAATGTGGGCCTAATGTGTAGTTAGTATGTCCATCACCCATAGAGATGACAGCAAGTGCCGCAGGGGAGCCACTAGCTTTTCACTCACTCACCCATGCCGACAGAGAGGAAAACTAGCCCTAACAACAGCACTCCTTTTCACACCTGTATTCGATCTGTCTGCAGGCATAAGTTGGCATTTAGTTTGGGATCCTCTCTTGCAAACTCACAGCTGGGTGGCTGGGCTCCAAATGCCACAGCAGCTGCACTCCTCTCCTCCTGCTTTGGATTGGCTATATTGCTGCACAGTTGGGGACAGGCATCCATGTCAACTTAAAGTGGAGACACAGGTCAGATTCTCGTCACTAAAGGACAGGCAGACAATCAGAGGGATAGTAGGAGGGACAGAGAGAGGGGAAGGGATGTCCGATATTGGCGCTCCTGTCTTTGTTGTGTGTTTGAGCTGTAGTGATCGAAGGGGAGTGGATTTGGTGAGTATTGAAGGCACCATAAAGGATGACATTTCTTTGAAGGGTGGCTTGTATGGAGTGACTGAGGGGCTGCTGAGCACTGCCACTGGCTGTGTATTCTTCCTGACATGCCCCAGTCCTTGCATGTTGTCCCTGCTGTGATCAGAGCATTTGAAGGAAAATGGCAGGATTATTCTGTGTACTGCTTTAACTCATGGCTGCTACTATTTTCAGTTTAACTAAAATCAGGAATCTTCTTATTTACAAAAAATATGTATCATCATATAATCATAATTAATCAAAAAACTGTAAAGACAAGATAGTAGGATTTATATTATCTCCTTCTCTGATGCTTGAGCAGTACTCACCAAAAAACAGTTAGATATAGGTTGGTATTTTCTTTAATTCATATTTACCCTTTAGCTGCCGAAGTAACAGAAGTTCAACATGAATTTTGAATATATATGTATATATTTACATATTTTTATTTAATTTATACTTGGTATTGATTTTAGTAGGGGGTTTCAGGGATTCAACTTTTTTCTGTTTCATGTCAAATTTCAATTTTTTTTACAAAAAGAGTTAACATTACCTAAAACCTTGTTGGACAAAGTGACTGGTAAATGACCCGATACATGACCCCCTCCAAAAAAGATAACAAAATCTTATTTTGAGGAAAATACTTTCGGTAACAAATAACAGACAACAATGTAATATGTATAAGACATACTTGAACCTTGTTGTGACATTTCAGCAGCTCCAGAAGGGATTTGCTTTGCTTTGTTTCTTGCAGTAAACAAAGTAGTTTTCAGAAAATAACAATAGCTCCCTTTGTCCTTTCTTGATAGAAGCCCCTTTATGCGCGTGGATTCTGTGTTGTACAGTTGTCTGCGTCAGGCAGAAATGCAGCAGGCATTGTTTTGAGTGGAATATGCTTTGTAGGACGTTTTGGGGGTGGGCAACTACAGGCTTTACTTTCCTGGTGGTGGCAATTGGGGCAATCTTTGACACACAGAGTCAGTGTGGAAGGGTTGCATAGACACTAACAAAGGGATCACACACCTGTGCAGACAGATACACTCACGCGTGCTACTGCAATGGCGTAAACATAAACATGCAGACGCAAAGACGCACTTAGCGATGAGATAGGCCACACCTGGCTACATGAGGCTTCCTTGCGAGGATTAAATCAGCACTTCAAAAGCACAGGAAACAAAAACACTCCCAGCGGAGCAGACGCCAGCAGTAGAGACTGTCATTTCCAGACGGAGCTGGAACAGGGAGAGGATGGAAGTATGAGGATGAGCTGAGGAAGATGAGGGCGGAGTTTTCAGGTGTACTTTGTCTGAGACAGCCACATCTGTGTAAAGGACTTTGGTTACTCTCAGTGAACTGTATTTATTATTTATTTTTACAAAACTTGATATTTGATTTATTATTAACATTGTCACAAAATATCCCACTACATTATCTTTTTATTATTTATAGTGTGTTGTTTTTTTTTCTGCCACAGAGGAAAATGAGAATGCAATCCTACTGTCATTGGATATAACATGTCATATAATTATTTTTGAGAAATATTTGTAAAAACTGTAGCTAGTACTTTTTGTCAAGTCCACTTTGTCTTCACACAGGTGGAGTTTGAATGGCTGCGGCAGTACTGGTTCCAGGGCAGGCGCTACACTCGCTTCTGCAGCTGGTGGAGCAGACCCATGGAGCAGCTGGAGAATGACTGGAGGCTCATGGAAACCATGGTTGGCCATCTCACACAATGTGTTTACAGACATATTAGCGTTACACATGTTATGTTCTTCAAACACTGTAATTTCCGTCCTATTGCTACACCAGCATAATAAAATACAGTCGCTCTTTAAAGTAAGGCAAATTCAATTATTTAACTTTCACCCACACTCTTCATAGAAACAGACTATTTATCTTATCTTCCCTTGTGCAAAATGGCTTTTTAAAATGACATGATATATGGTTGAACTTCTTGTTGCAACACAATTTAAAAATTTGGAGCGTGTCATGAGTTTTAATTGAAGCCTCCTACAACATTTATTATGAAGAATGCCAGCAAGCAGTTATCATCCCACACCACTTTATAGAAATCACTCATATAAAAGACAGATTATGATGATACCTTAGTCACAGACACACTGCACTTTCCTGGCTTCTGACTCCACGGAGGCCTGGAGGAAACAGCAGGGGGCACTCTTGCACTATGGTATAGCCTTGCATCTGTTATCTCCTGGTGTGTGCCTGGCTTCTCCCTCCGTGGCGTTGGTCGGGCCCTGCTCCCGCTGTCTCTGGGAGCTCTCTGTCTCTGTCAGTGTCGGCCGCTGAGCAGTAATCACATCTAATGCTCAGGCGGGGATAAAGACAGGAGGCTGCAGGAGAGGTGCAGTGTGCAGTGTGCGCTGGCTCACTCTCTATTCTCCATGCACTACACTAGCTGTATGTGTGTGTGTGTGTGTGTGTGTATGTGCAGAGTAGGGGGGCTCAAACTCATCCCCGGCACCACCTTAAGGCCCAGATGAAGTGTGCAATTCAGACCTGTATTTAGAAAAGGGCAGAGGTGAAATGTGATGTTCAATGGTATTTTAATATTAAGTGATACAATACAAGAATACACTATTTAGTTTTTGTTGTTTTAAAATATAGATCTTAGAAAATATTCATTTTTAAACAACAGAAAGCCGAAAGATACACACCAAATTCATTTTATTGTGATTATTTACCCAAAATCAAAGCATTCATTAAGACTATATGATGACATGGCTGATTTACTCCTACAACATACTATATATAACCCAATACTTTACTTATTAATTTACTAACTCAATTCTTTACTAAATATAATACATTCATAAAATGCATTTCTCGCTGTGCATCCCATAATTTATTACATATACACAACTTTATTGAAAATAGACTTTGCTGTTATTAAACAAAATTGAACCATACGTTACATCTGCTATTGATTTATACCAAACTCCATTATTCAAATGGCATCAAAAGCAACTGTTGTGTGCAAATATATCGAACCCACACAAAATTAATAACACACGCGGATGCATAAATGTAATGATTCGCTATTGTGATGAAAGGCAGTCTTATTGCTCTCACAAGCAATATTTACATACAAGCATCGACCTGAGGAAAAGCACTCCATAGATGTGGCTTATGGATTTTTCCCCTCATTGCTTTAGATAGTTTGAGCTACTGGGCCATAGTTAGATTACAACAGAATTCCTATGATCCCTTTGAAGCATTTAAATGTTATTATCGCATCTATATTCTCATATTTCACATTCTGAGACTGACAACTAACAGTATAACTCTGGGAAATATCACTGACCCGCTAAGTGTGTATGTGCTTTATTTTTATTTGATCTTATTTCTCATCTCCTCTCTAGCGGAGTTGATTTTAATACGAGCGTCATTTTTTATTTGTCAAATTTGATTTTAGCGTGGGTATTTTAAAATCATAAAAAAGTATGTGTCTTCAATAGAGTTTATAAAATTACAATGTGTTACTATATGCGTGAGGCCGTTGCAATAAAAACACATTGTCTTTTCCTGCCCAAATAGTAATAATAATAGCAAGTCCCTTTATTGTCATATTTAGCACACAGCGATATGGGATGCGCGTCTATGTATGCATTTGTCAGTTTGTTGAAGGAATATTGAGAGATGGGGGGCAAGCTCCTGTTTATGGATACTGTCTCCCTGGGGCTCCCTCCCTTCAGCTCAGCCTGTTGTCATGCAAATGCTCACCCTTCCATTTGAATGACATTCTGATAAAATGCATCAAATAAATAAATGAATATCTTGGACAAAATAGGTCCACTTGCGCTCTCCCTCTTTCACCATAGCCGGTGTGATGGCTGGTTTTAAACAAAGGACCTCTGCATAATCGGCCTGTATGTAAAACGGCCTATACGTTTTACCTTTTAAGGCTCTTCTCTCTCTGGTGACAGTGGATGCTGAAATCAGTTTAGAAGCCTCCATCTTGACGCCTTGCTTTCTCCCAGGACACTGCTATCATCATGATCATACACTGGTGACATTTCTTTAAACTAGCAACAATGAATAGCTTCCATCTGAGTGACAATAGACTTGGTTTTTATGCAGAATATTTTAAATACTGGCATGGTATTTTTTTTATCTCTTCAATGCGGTGGGAAGAACGACAGCGGTGGGCCTTACCGTGTTTTTCTCTCTGTCCTGCGTGTTGTGTGTGTGCACGTGCTATTGATGTTAATGTATGCACTCGGCTTGACTTTAATTGATTTAGCCGTGCCGCTTGCACAGTACAGCTCTTTCCCTAATTTGTCACTTTTCTGACTTCTGTAGCCGCTCATCTCGCTACTTCAAAAGAGAGCGTGGATGCAACGATTTCAGTGCACTCCGTCTCTCTCTGGCTCGCTCCTTTTCTCTTTATGTTCTTTCTTTCTCTTGTTCTTCAGCGCAGTTTCTTCCTCATTTGACAGGAGAACGTGCCTCCTCGATGGAAACCTTTTCAACACATATCAAGGAAATTAATCTACTTTCATAATAAACGGGATCTGCACACGTGAATACATTTGTATACTTCAATATGTACAAAACAGGAAGTAGTCTTAGGGCCGTGTCTCCCTCTCCTATGTGCACCCAGCCTGTCACTTTGTGTTTTTCAAAAATTTGGTCATATACCTACACATTTACGCTATATGGCATATTTTATCTTCCTCATTGTGTGACAAATTGTGCTTTCTCTGATTTATAAAAGAGGCGGGGTCTTGCCGGGATGTGCTTAGTGACCATTTCATCATCTTCTCTGACTTTAATAACAGTCTGCGGGAACACTGTGGGCCCGCTGTGGAGGGCTGCACTGCAATCATACACTGACTAGCCTAGTGCCATCGATAGCTGATTAGGTTATTGACCTGCCGTGTGAAGAGTGGCGAAAGAGGGGAGTGCGCAGCCGGGACAGACTGTAGACACATGAGGAGGTGCATCGGGAGGTGGGAGGGTGAAGAGGCTTGTGTGTGTTGGGCTGGGGGGTCAATGTAAATGTTATTGCCTTGTGAGCTCATTTGATCAAAGTCCTGGAAAGGTTAAGCGAATCCAATCTGGTTTTGTATGGCAGAGTGGAGACACAGGCGCGATGGAAGAAACCCCCAGGACGGAGAATGGATTATCATATTGGCGTTGGAGTAGCAGGGGCCTCCGTCGGACAGTTTACCCTGCCCGTAATGCGTTTAGACAGCAATTGGCCTTAATAACCTTTATTGACTTCAGCGGGTCAGTGCCAAGAATCTAATTATCAAAGTGTATCAATTTCATTGGAGTTTAGAGTTGCACCGCTCAAAATAATTATTTTAAGGTCGGGCTGGGGCAATTAATCCCCTCTCCACTTATTTGATGGCTTTGTAAAACATAATAAATGTTATGGTTTCTGGTGTGCACTTCACTGTAAATAATTTCAGGGAGCATTTTTTGTAATGTATTATTTGGGGAGCCAGCCATATTGATTAGATTAGAAAGGAAAAAGAGCAGTTTACCGGCAAAAGGGCCACAGCTGAATCCTATCGAATACTTTTGCCAGAATATTTCCCTTCCTTCGCTCACTGTTTTACTCAAATACCCAGGCAATTTTATACCCACTTTATATGCACACATGGAAGCCAGATTAATTATAACTGTGAACTAAGCAGTAAACTGTTTAAAGACCCCCTTTTATTGCTCATTATGAAACCATTTATTATGCTCTTATTTTCAATCACACAATGTTTATGCATCATATTGTTTTGCATTTTTAAGTCTATACCATGCAAATAGGCTTATAGATTTATTATATCCTCAGTGGAAGCAATTGGCACACACAACTGCTGTGTTGGTTTGTGCTCAGGGAGTTGTGCCTTGGCCACAGCGTGAAGAGAGAGAAAAAAAAGAAAAGAAGCATAGCCACACACTAGTTTATCCTCTATTGACAGTCAATATGAGCTGTAACCTGGATGGAAGCAGCTGTTTTTGTTATTGCAGGACATAGATAAATGCCTAATCCACGCGTTCATTATTGCTTGGCCTTGTTTACCTGTGGTTTGCATGAACGTACTGTTTAACAAAGCAGCATGAAAACAAAATTACCTAAAGATTATTGTTATTATTCATTAAAAAAGAAATATACAGCTGATTATACATTTTACATTTTGCTGCCGCCTGTGTTTTGAAATATAAAATGAATAGGACCATGAGGCGACAGAGACCGGGAGAGAGTGTAGCCGTACAAAGGTATTTTGCAATTCTCTTTGAAGTCCCTATTGAACAGGATAAGCTGAATTTTTCGGCAGTGCCAGATAGTGTTGTGCTTAAATGCTTAAACCCCTTTAGAGAATTTTCATGGGCAGATACGCGTTGGCTTGAAGGGAGCGTTTATGTTACCTGGAGCCAATGCAGCCTGCAGCTTTATGCCTAAAGATGTACTGTGGTTGTGAATGGAATCCCACAGAGGTTTGTCTCTGACAGAATCTCTCCACAACATCGCAGTCGCTGGCCTGGGACAACGAGCTACCGACAGATTTAACCCTGTCCCTACTCATCATAGGACTTAATGTGCAAGTGTAAAGTAAACTCTAAATCAAAGCCTGCTGGGTTAATAAAAAATGGTTTGTGTGTTTAAAGCAATATATAAAGGCAAATCATTATTGTTGTTTTGTTTCTTAGCCTGAAAATTGTTTCCAAATGTATGACATTCAGTAGACTAGTT